GTAGAGTCGCATGATGCGACTCGCATCAATGGCAAAGAAATTATCCGTTCCTGGCAGGAACACACGCGATTTTAGGGACAATGCGACTCCCACGTGGCCGATCCGCACAAATAGGGAGTGCTTAGAGACCTGCCCACCAGAACACGGAGTGTTATAAGGTTGGAGCATCTAGTGTAGAGAATCATCCAGCGAGCACTGAAAGCCAAGTTTACAGGTGAACTCAGCAGAGGAGGTAGAGTGTAACATCACAGGTGTGAATGATTTACTTCCGCCCGTTGATTGCTCGTGTGCTCGTGTGCTCTCTTTTTGTCCCGCTGTTCATGGAGACCGATATTGCCACTGAATCTGTTTAAGATGCACGAATCCTAGCATCTATGGGCTAACGACCTACAGGAACTTTGACTTCTTCTTGACGGTTCATTAGGCCAGAGCCTCACGAGCGACGATATCGCAGCCGTGCAGAGCAGGAGGTAGGATCATCCTACTAGGATGCGTGCTCAATTACCAATAACGTGCACGATCTCGGGGTTGGTCGAAGGCACGAATCACAACCCCGCTCAAAAACTTTCTCGTCAGAAAGGGGTTGCAGAGATTCGTTTGGCAGAGCGCGTTGCATTAGCTACTTGCGCAGACAATCCTACAGATAGATTGAGTCTGTATATCATACTGCATTCGCGATTTCCGGTTCCTACTCTAGGGGCCTAACATCGGGAGCTGCATGCATCCAGGCACTGCGTCGGGGCCACTCTCACGTTCCTACCGCTTGAAATAATTAGAAAAACAATCCAGCTGGTAGACTCGGATCTGTCTCGTTAGAGCGAGTTAATATTTTGGGATAACATACCAGCTGCATCAGCTCAAACACTCCCGCGTGAGGTGTTTGCACGAAGAATGACGCATGACTCAGAACCATTTCCAAATCGCGGAGACAAGGAGCCTGTTAAAGTGCGGAGGCTTTCCGAGTTCCGAGTCCGAGTTCCCGGAAGAGTGTCTTCTGAGAACTCATACAGTATGGGCGAGTTTCTGCTGCCTTGATGCAAGTTTGCCTTTTTCCGAGCTCGGATCGGGATTTCCGAGAATCCAAATACCATAGTATGAGTACAGACGCCATCATCCGGTCGCCCTCGGGTTCTCCCTCTCTTCGCGATTGAAGTGCCCTTTGATTGAGTGCGTGATTTTCATGTACTAGCATGGGTACTCAACGCCAAGCTACTGGCATTGTTCCCCCGCAAACACGAAATTGGATTTCCTAACAGCGGAGTCGAATCTCCTAAGGGGACGAAGTTGGAGGTTCGAACTCCGAAGGTGTCTCGATGAAACGGAACGTTCTATTAGCACGAACTTGAACTTCCTGTGGATATAAGACGAACTTGAATGTTCTATAACGAATTGAACTCGTCGAATTTGGAGGTCCTGAATGCGAAAATGCCCTAATGAGCTGAAGGCTTACCTGGAGCGACGCTATGTTTATGCAGGCCCATCTCGCAAAGCCTTGCATACGCGTCACTGACGCAGCGTCAAGCTTGTCAAGTTGAAGCTGCTAAGTCATTTAAGGAGTATTTCCACGCTTGGGATGTGCATCGATTACGCCTACTCGATAACTTAGATGCCTCCAAGAGATGTCGTCAGCCGGTGGGAGACGCAACAGTTTGCAATGACATTGTCCGAGTATACCGTCCATCTGCTAAGCTTACTATGTCGTGGTCCTCTCGCTTGTACAAAGTTATGGAGATTCGTGCTCAGATAGCCAGGCTGAGGCTGGCCAGGCGGATGAGGTACAGTATATCTTCAATCTCACTGACTGATCAATCATTTTCAATCCATGTGGGTGTGGAGATAAGGTACGTACCCGCTTCGCCCGAGTCCGACTGGCAACACTAGACATGGAGGAAAGATGGAAGCACGTACTGACGATATGAAGCAATAAGAGAGCTCAAGTAGATCGAGCATAGACCAGAAATAACGAGGTTAGTTAATAGTGCACGTGCACCATCACGAGGTGAAGAAGATGCGCATGCGCTCCACCGGCAATATTCATGCTCATGCGCATGCGCGCATCATAGAAATAAGAGACAGCGCGATCGCATCAGCATTGGAAGGGTGTGATGAGATAGTAAAGACTGGATAACACAAGTATTGATGAGCTCGTAGAGGTAGCTGACTCAGCTACCTCTACCTCTAAGTCTCCGTAGCTCAGCTAAGCTGAGCTACGGAGACTTAGGGGAGTGATTCAAGAGGAGATGGAAGGGTAACGTGCCCTCCCGGGCGAACAACCATCATCATTAGCTAGAGATCTCAGTACTTGTGTTTCCAGTCCGTGGGCTTTAGTATCCCATCACACCCTTCCGTTACATCTACTCGAACCCGTTACATGTTCGAGTATTGTTGAGAACAACTCCAACCTTTTTAGTCCTTTAAGTTTATAGTGTTCTGCCAAGGCTTGCTACCTTTCTTGTCTGCGTCTGCGTGCCGGCTTACACAGGCTGTGGTATCCGATTCACTGTTGCACGATCAACGTTGTTGAGATTGATACCGTAGCTACCTGGCTCAAGTTATTAATTGCCATCCACAATGCCTGACGATGCACAGACTCCTCTCAATCTCACCTCTCCTCATCTCGGTGTTGATTCCTCTGAGTCATTTGAGAGCAACGGTACAAGCCTTACGCGATAAGGAGCCTTACGGTGAGAAACCCTATATCACCTTACCTTACTGCCACTCCGTAACTCGTACGGATGTGGAAGTGCCTTGCAAGGCACCTTACAATATTCGCTCCTCATGACGGCTTGTGGACTTGACTCCCGAAGGACTCCACATCGATTTTCGGGCGAGCGAGATTTAACCGGGGCATTCTTGTTAGCACGCAAGGATTTGAATCAAGCCATTCCGAATAGGGGGGGGGGGAATGTACAGCTGTATTTTTGCAATCGTAAGTGCTACTACGTCTACACCAAAGTGTTATAACAAGTTAATGCGACGACAAGTTGTTGCAAGACCGGAATTATCTTAGCAGTTCTCATCGTAATGCCACCGATTCAGAAGCCTCTCCTCCCCAGTGGCCGTGCCGTCCTCAAGCATGGCCGTTCTATGCTATGTAGTGGTAACCTCAGCTATGACGTTAACTCTACCATCAAGGCTCCTGAGTGCAAAAGGGGTATGGGCTTTACTCAGTTCAAGAGGTTCACTCCTGTCCCTATCGAAAGTGGCGTTAGTGTTGGCAATCGAGGTTGGTTTTTCCCCGGGGTCATACCATATCAGGGGCACTAAGGTAAGGCCTTCGTAATGGCCCTGTTCACTTGTCGTTGCAGGTTGGCTACTAGGCTTGGGAAAACTAGGGTGAGTTACTATTATCTGTTATACTGCACTTCCTTATATGGTGTCTCTCTCAGTTGCGTGAGCTCCCTACTACTATGATGCGAGGTTTTGTTCGTCGTCGGTTGAAAGTAACAACAATATCATCATGACCATTTTTGAGCTCTCGTTGGTCTTGCGTTTTTTATAACGTTGGGCCATATCGTGTAAACGACTAGGAGGGTTGTCTCGCTGAATCTTAGTGTAAAGTGAGAAAAACTGTAAAATTCAGTGGAGTTTCACCACCCTAGTGATATGAAAAACACAAAAAAATATATTTCACGACTACTGCATACCGTGAATTTCGCGGTTTTCACCAAGTTTTACGCCACTTCACGTAAACGTTTTCGTGAACTACTTCGGTAAGTTGATATTCTAATCCCGAGTTGATGTCATTATTGCTACTCCGGCACAGTCGATCGATACCAGGACGCCGACTGCTGCTATTAAGAACAACGGCTACACGAGGGTTCACACAGGGTCGGGGTCCTTATGGTGACGACCATATAGAGCAGTTGAAGAGGGCTATGATGAACCCTAAGACAGATCCTGAGAGGTATTGGAAAGAAGAGGAACTCAAGGCTAAGGCAGAAGGGAGACCTGGTAACGCCCTGGGATGGATCTGAGATCGATACCATTCAATTTGGAAATGACGAAGAATATGTTACCCATTTACTTTGCTATATAAAGGTATTTTTCTGCAGTTCCCGAGAGGCCGCCATCATCTAGCTTGAAGCCTCTACCGTCAAATCAGTGGAATTTCGACGACGCCGGTATTATCAAGGAAGATGATACCAACGTTAAGTAAGCCTTTTCACTGTTGGCTTTGTACATATTGAGGATTGACGAGCCCGGTCTTGCTTTGTTCGTGCGTGCAGTCCTGTGTACGTGCGTGCCCCGCAATTGATGGTGTTTTTTCCCTGAGCCATTATATTAAATGACATTGATACGCTCAATCTCAGTTTCACAACCGTAAACTTGTCTACTCGTTGTTAATATGGCGACACCTGAGGAGCTCGCTGAGCTCTCTGAAGCCCGTAGAGAGTTGGCCGCTACGCGCCGTTCCCTCCGGGATACTCGCGAGGCTCTCAACAACATCATCTCCGACGAGAAGGATGATACTCAGCAGCTTATGAGCGACCTCGCGTCCAAGGAGGCCAGTAATCTTTCTAAGATAGGTAGCCTCGAGGCCCGTATTGCTGAACTTGAGCCCTGGCTGACCGATCCGTCAGCGAGATATCACGGAAGGAAGGTTTCAGT